GTGCGGAGGTCGCTCCTGGTCTTGGGCAGTGGAATGGTCTTGACGTAGTTGTTGAGAGTGGCCTTCGCTGTCAGCTGAGGGAAAGCAGAGGTTTTGGAGAAGGCTGTGGGCAAGGCAGCTGAAGGTGGGAGGTCTAGTAGCACTGCAAGCTCTAGTGAGAGCGCCAAGCCCTGCCCACGGTCCCCTCCAGGTCCCTCCCATTCCTCCCTGCCTCCAGCACCCTGGGCAGAAGCAGCCAACAGCAAGAACGTGCCCTGCCTGGACCCTGCCAGCCCCCAGCCCCACTCTACCCTCCACCCCGCTGCCTGGGGCAGGACTGCCTTGCCTTGAGCAGCAGGATGTCGTTGGACACGGTGCTGGGGTCGTATTCAGGGTGCATGTAGTATCTGAGCACTCCCCTGACCTGCTGGGTCCTTTCGGGTTCATGGATGTTGTGAGCCGAGCCCCCAGGATGAGGGTGTCATTCCTGGCCATGGCAGCAGAGAGGAAAAGGGGGAAAACAGGTTGGGTCTCACCTGCGTCTCTCCCCTTCTGCAGGAAGGCGGAGAGGGCTGCACAGCACAGGAGGAAGAGGACTCTCATCCAAAAACACTCCAGTGATGGCCTTGGGTGAGGGGAGGAAGAAGGGGATGAAGCACTCACCCCAAGCAGTGTGCAGCTGTCATCACCCAATCTGGAGCCACCAGGAAGCCTCCGCAGGCTGACAGCCCTATCTTCAGGTATGCCATGTAGGGGTGGGAGTGGGGCGGCGCCTCATGGCCCCCCACGATCTGCCCCTGTAGAGCACCTGCAAGACACCCCACCAGAGCCTGGGTCAGACCCAGCCTGACCGCCTCGCTCGCAGCCACTCGTGGCCCCCAGCTTACTGGCACTGGCCCAGGGGCAGGAGAGCAGGAGCAGCAGGGCCAGCAGTGCCGGGGGCTGGTACATCTCGTCCCACAGCCCAACACTCCCGCCGAGACGTGTGGAAGTCTGAGTGTCCCAGTGCCCAAGGGCTGGTTTTATACCCCCGGGTCCAGCTGTTCTGAGCAGCCAGGAAGCCATGTGCGATGGGCTGATTGTGCTAATCAGAGCAGCATCCCTGCAGCTCTATCTGCATCCACCGCCCCAGCCCGCTCACGTGCCCCGGCCTTCGACTGCGAGCGATGAGCGATAGAGCGGGGCAGTAAGGCCAGGACAGAGTGGGGTGCCACAGCCCTACGCCCATGGGGTGCCGAGGAGAGGTGTCCGAGGGTATTTCCGAGTGTGATTTAGCATTTCTCCTCCAGTTTGGCTGCAGGACAAATGGTGTTTGAGCTCTGGCACCTGGGCTGTCTCATGCTGTACCTTCAGTGGGTCATGCTACTGCTCCGGGGTTGGCCAGGTCATCTCACGCTTTTTTGGCGAGTGCAATCACTGCAGAGGCTCTTTCCCCTGCAGCTGGTCTTGCCACTGGCACATCTGCTCCGACGTGACCAGAGTGAGCCTTCATCTACCCTGCTCTGGATTCTCTGCTCTCTCCCGTCCCTGCCATGGAATTGTCTGCAAGCCAGGCTGCAGCTGCTGCCTCCACCTTGCCCCTGGCAACGCGTGAGTTGGTTAAATGCTGAACTGCCCACCTGCCCTGCTGCCCACAGCCACCGTTGGGCTGCCCCAGGTGACCCTGTTC